CGTGAGGTATAACTTAATCACATGACTGAGACACTCGTGAGGGATAACTTAATCACATGACTGAGACACTCGTGAGGGATAACTTAATCACATGACAGACACTCGTGAGGTATAACTTAATCACATGACTGAGACACTCGTGAGGGATAACTTAATCACATGACTGAGACACTCGCTGAGAGTTAGCTCTTGCTATTCGTCATCTCCAGGTGCTCCTTAATTACAGAATTTCATTTATGTATTAAACATGTTAATTTAAGAGCAAAATTCCAAAGCGCCATTTTTTGTTGCCTTTGAGATGAGACTGCTAATCAGCATCAGGCTTCCTCATCATACATTACAGCATTTGGAACCAAAATTCATTCAGTCCTTTTGAATTCATAGTCATTAAATTGAATTAGTATAGTCATTGAATTAGTATAGTCATTAAATTTCCAAAATTCACAAAGTCCACTGACATTTTCAGAAAAAATGCATCCTGTGGATGCGTGTTGGAAATTTGCTCTACAGAGTGTGATCAAGCCTCTTTGTTCTGGAAACTTCCTTCAGCTGGTCCTTGCTGGGACAGTTCCAGGTGCTGAAATCACCCCTTGGCAGCTTGAATCTCTCACGCTGAGTCCCAGGTGCCTTACATAACCTCTTGCCCACCCCATCATGTCCCCTTACAGGACCCACCTTGCCCTCCCCATCTGTAAGCAGGACAGCATTGCGGAGAGGGAGACTATGTTGAGGGAGAGTCCTCAGGCACTGCCATCTTCCCGCTCATCTAGGAGTACGGAAAGGCCAAGCCAGCTAGAGCAGGTAAGTTCACAGCACTCCATTGTTTAATCATGGTAGTCACATGTGCTTTGAGGCATGTCACATGATCCAGTGGTGGTCCAGTATGCTTTGCTTAACTTTAACTCAAGTAATCGTCAAATAATTTCATTCCAGCTAAGCCCAACATGGAATCTTTGTGTTAGGAAATACTATAAACACACCATGTGCATTTTCAACAAAATGCTGCATAAAACGGATATATGTTTGTGAACGTTGGGTGTATACCGATTATATTGTAACCTTAACATTCTTAGAGGAATGTCTTACGAGGAGAGGTTAGCGGAATTGAATCTGTTTAGCCTTGAGCAAAGGAGACTAAGGGGGGATATGATTCAGGTCTATAAGATTCTAACGGGTCTGGATGCTGTTCAGCCAAATGACTATTTCAATATTAGTC